CACAAACTCCAGGCCTCGAGGGCCGGTGTCCTGCAGGATTTAGATGTTTCCTTAATCCAACACAGCTGATTAAATGGCTCAATTGCCTCCTCAATATGTCTTGAAGTTCTCCAGAGGCCTGGTAATGAACTGATCAATTGATTCAGGTGTGTTGACCTAGGGTGATATCTACAACCTGCAGGACACCGGCCCTCGAGGCCTGGAGTTTGACACCCATGCTTTAGACACTCAAATAGCCAAATTTTCTTATTTTCAGTACAGTACAACAGCACAAGCTGTGCTTATGTGTTACAGACATAGGAGTAATGCTTACTGAAAATGAACCTCTACTTAGATATTCAAGAGAAATAAATAAATTAAATGATCTAAATGATTCCAATATTCATTCAATTAAAACATTCCAGATATATTAATTGTATTAGAGCGCTTCATGCCCCCCACAGGCAGTATTTTAACAGACACCCAAGGATGTTTAGCAGTTGTTTTTTTTGTTATCCATCAACTTGACTTCACTTTGTTTTAAACTGCTCAGTAGCTAGCCCAAGCCTGTTGTGGTGATTACCTGAGAGTCTCATTCTGTAGTGTGGACTGCAGCCGGTAACAGGAGTCCTTGTTGTGATTCTGTAGGAAATCCTGAAATAAATGTGGTTATTTTTCAAAAACAGTTATTCCAAACCTTCAAAATGTAGTGCAAGTCTGGCCACACAGTTTACGTTAACTAGATGAATATATAGGGTAAGGGAAACTGTGTTACTTTAGTGTTTAATGAGCACATGTGCTACCGTTAACATGAATGATGGCATGTTAGTGAATTGTATTACATTATTAAATAAATTTTTTAAATTTTATTTTAAATTACTTATCACTGCATATTTGTTTTTCTTTTCTCACTTCTACCATCTGTAACCTTTGAAGCACTTTAACCCTATAATGCCCCTTGTATCATATTTGATATGAGTTTCTGAGACCTTTAGCTCATCAACATGATCAATACTTGACATAATTTCAATATGTTATAGACAAAACTCTAAAATTAACACTGTTGTTAACAAAAAGTTGCAAAAAATGCCCAATGTATTCAATGCGATACAGAAAATATATAATAAATATACAATAAAAATATATCATACACAACATGATATATAGCAAAAAAAATTGTGGATTTTGTTATAAGGGTTAATAAACATCTCAGTTCCAAAAAAATCTGAATTTTCTGGCTAGTTTTTTGAAGGGTTGGGTCTTACAGGGTTAAACTGGAAAAAAAGTTGCTGAGCAATTATAGGTTTGATTGATATTTGTAATTAGACCTCGAGTCATGAGAAGCCTACTTTGGAAATAAGTTGAGACAAAAGGCACTTTAATGTGACTTTTGTTTGAAAAATCAGTACGAGGGAGCTGCTTTTGTCTCCCAGCAGATACTCAGTATTTGGCTGTTCATCAACAGATGCGGCGAAACACTGTGTGCTGCATGTGGTGTTATTGCGACCTGTTTGTCAAAATACCACTTTAAAAAAAAATTGTGCTGACACACTGCTTTGCTGTATCTGTCAGGTGCTGTTAGTACTGTTATTTGTCTCAGATGTCTTGTTCTGTGTCTGCACATTCATCATTTTATTTCAATTTCAGAGGCTCTGTGAGTTTAGTCCAGTGCCTCTAAATTGAAATTAACTTGTAGACTGGTAAGCATATTTGATCAGTTTTTTCATCTCTGATCATTAACCTCTTCTCGCCTTTGCAGGTTTGTCGCTCAGAATACAATGCGTCTGCAGAAACTTGGTGTGACGCACGTCTTAAATGTAGCAGAGGGCACCTCCTTCATGCATGTCAACACCAGTGCGGATTTCTACGCTGGCACGGGCATCACCTATCATGGCATCCAGGCCAATGACACAGAGCAGTTCGACCTCAGTGCCTTCTTTGAGGAAGGGGCTGATTTTATCGACAAGGCCCTAGCGCACAATAATGGCAAAGGTGGGGTTATTTTGTCGTGTATGTTTTATCTATTGGACTAAGGAGCTAAATGTTAACTCTTGAAATACATGTATTCATTTTTAGTAGAATATTAAAATAATGGCCACCAAACTTTTGTGTGCAAGTGATCTACCACTTAGCAACAAGTGTACCAAGTGGTAGGACATCCTAACACTTTACACATAACGTTGTTGACATTTTTTGCTTGAGTTGTAAATGGAAAAAAAAAAAAGAAGGACAGACTGTGGGATGTTTTTCTTACTTACGCTTATGTGCATTAAACTGTGGACTACAAGCTGTCCAGAGACCAAATAACTTCCCGTTACAGTCTTGTGTAGCAAAGAAAAGCACCAAATTCTGTTAAATAGCTGTTTGTCAAATTTGTAGTTGGTTTCTTGAGAAAGCACAAAAATAATACATCATTTCTACATTCTTCAGACTATTTTTATTTAGTGAGGTCCTAAGAAGTTGTTCAGGAGCCATATAGAGATAACACCCACTCAATGTTTGAAAAAGCCCATTGTTTTCCCTCTATTGACTATATATGGTGCTAGGAAGTCTGTATGCTTATATATGCACAGGTAGAGAATAGATTGATTGACTATATTACATTACGTCAGTATTAGTATGTGTTAGTACCCCAAAACTGGGGTAAAACTAGCACCTAAATATATCCAGCACCTCAAAGAAATGTATCCCCTATGCTGGATATTTATATTTATTTAACAAATGGGAGCACTATGCCTTTCTTACTTCAATAGCTCACACTTAAAAGTAATTTGCTCCAAAAGTTGAGACATGAAAACAAGTTCCTCTTGTTGTTTGTCTAACAAGATCCAGTCTTAGTTCCAGTCTTCGTACTCCTCATTGTTGTGGATCTTAAAGCAACAACAGGAGATAATCACAGCGGCCCTGAACACCTCTCGCTAAATCTGACACACTCATGAGTCCTGCTCCATATTCCATTACCCGATCACATCCCTGCACATCAGTATCGTCACAATGTTTGATGTGTAGCACACCTGTAAGATGTTAAACGGGTGCTGTAATACTTTGGGACTGTGTAAAAGAACAGAACAAGTACTGCAGTAAAAAGTTGTAAGAAAGGGGAAGATACAGAAATCACTGGGGAACTGAGTCTTGACTTTCATACAACTTCTAGGTCAGGCATACTATACACCATTTCAGGTGTGCAAACTTTGAATTTTGAATAGTACGAATCAAAAAGCAGCCGTTTCAAATCTGAAACTGAGCATCTTAATTCCCCGAATGTTTTTTGTCACAAAAGTGCTGTGGTAAATCAAGAATGAAGAGCTTCTGTGGAGAAGATCGCATGAGAGATTTAGCAGCACAAATATGAGGAGAGCATGTCTCATCTCTGCTTGGTGGTTTTGCCGCAGTTTGACATTTGTGCATTGTGCCACATTAAGCGTGACATTTTGTGACCCTCAGCTGTAAGCTTGGAAAAGGTCCAAGGTCCAGGATTTTAATGAGGAACTGCACTGATGCATTGCTCCTGTGAGTTTTCCATAATGAAGACACAAGGTTACAGTGTGCAGATCTGTGTATTTTCCTCCAATCAACAGAAAATCAACACATTAAACCTGCAATGATAAAAAGTAATTTAACGGCATCAACTGTGGTGATATGGAGAAATGGTTGGATTCATGATCTAGAATTAAAGGATGATAGATAATAATTTATGCTGGAATGTATATTTCAGACAAAATTTATATTTTTTAAATTAATTATTAATTAATTATTTATAGTTATTTAGCTTGACAAATTAAGGGCATGCAGGGGGTGGAGGGTGCTGCTCCGTCTGTGCGTAAGCAGCCATTGAGACTGTATCGGACATGCCACCTTGCTTTGATTGGTTGTTTTTAATTTGGGTGTGGTGGTTTCTTGCAGATCACGTTTGAAGCACTGAGAGGAGCCTTAAGAGCCTGATGCTTTTTTTTTCAGTGGCTCATGCAATGCAATGAAAATGTGTTGCTGCACTGAGCAAGTGGCAGGACATAGTTTAGGAGCTTTTTTTTAAACACCACGGCCATAGTTCAACAAATTTGGAGTGTGTTGCCAATAAAAAGGAGGCATCCTGCTGGAAGAAAATTCTGCCTAATCGTTCTGTCCTCTGCAGCTCCATCAAACAGTACGCTGAACCTTTAAGGTCTGAACAAAATGATGGAATGAATACATGCCCATACTTCCACACCATGCATGAATCAAGTGCCTGGATCCAGAAAGTTAGCTCAATCTGAATTAGTTTATATTTTCCTAAGAGCATCGGGATGAGTTTTTCTCATTTATAGTTTGATTTTTGAAGATATGCAAAATGTGGAAGTTTCTTCCCACGTCAAAATTCCTAGCTCCTGATATGATTTCAGATAAACTCCAGGAGTTAATCATTTCTTATTTGGGCCCTGAGAAATTGGTAGGCACGTTTTTCCATAGAGCTGAGCATTGTCACTACAAACATAATTAATCACTCTCATAAGTGGTGGAGGCATATACTGTTATGTGGCGGCTGTGTGCAGGTAGGAAAAGGACCCAAAGTGCAGACTCCAGAGACAAACGTAAACTCAAACAGCTTTAATGCTGAACTCAAACTGAACAAAAGTAAGAATCCAAATAACTTACACGGGCAGACAAAACACACAGCTAGATAAGGGTAGATCACAACACGGACAAACTGAAACACAGGGCTTAAATACACAGAGGGAGCAATCAGGGAATGGGTAACAGGAGGGAAACACAGCTGGGGCAAATCAGGCCTAACGAGACAAAAGGAAGCAAAACCAGACACATTTACATGAGACACGGATTTTCAAAGTAAAACAGGAAACATAACACAGACTGAACTATAGACACAGACTCTGACTGGACACAGAGAGACAGCAACTAGAGAACACAGACATAAACCATAAGACAGAACTCCAACAAAGTAACATAATAAACTCAAAACTCTGGGTCAACGACCCAGGCATCCTAACATATACTGTGCATGTCCTCGTGCGGAGCATGCACAGTTCCCCACGAGGAGCATTAATGTAAATATTTTTTTAATGTTGTAGTGAAGGGAACATGATTAGAAAACTGTTTAAATATTTTGTAATTAAATCATATGTTGTTTCTGTAGATCCAGTGCCAACTGTCAATATGGTGGATGAATGGTATACAAATAGACACAGAATGGGAGAAAGGGTCAGTCAGGGGGTGTAAAGTGTACATAGCTGTGCCAGTGCTGCAGTTCGGACTGGATGCTAATGCTGCTAGCTTGGTCTACAGGAGGACCGCAGCATTGAGAGAACGATGCTGACTGCACCCACTGACAACTCCTGTTGAGGAAAAGAGTGCCCAACAGTGGATAGCATTTAATGTTTTTCCAACAAATGCTGATAAGACTATTAAGCCTAATAAAACAATAAAATACAAGACACAGTAAAGACTGAGGGATATTGGAGCTGGACAGTGATGGAGCAAGTGAGTTGAGAGCCAAAGAGCGTGTGTGTCTAACAAGAGGATACAGAGGAATTAGAATTGATCTGTGGCAGACGCGGTGATTTGGTATTGAAGAGGTCACGTCGTTGGCATGGAAGTGTTCCCGGTCGAGTGAAAGAAAAAGGAGAGACGAGGGAGAGAGAGATGTTGGGGATAAAACTATAGTAGAGACAGAGAGAGGTGTTGGGTTTCAAATAAAGTGCAGAATCTGCAGATCTGACCTGAGCGGAGCACATCAGCTGCTCTGCGAAGGTTGCCAAGTTAAATCCCTTGTGGCGTTTTAGCCAGTCTGTAATGGAAGTGTAAGTTAGACAAAGGTACACCTTAGAAATGAACACAAACACACAAACTGGCTGAACATAAAAATACAGAAGAGTAAACACACATGTATTTTGCACACACAAAGACGACATTGATTCTTTGCTGTGGTCGGGATGTGGGTTCACCTCAGCCGGTGGAAGATGATTGACTTTGCTGAGTCTGCAGCAAAGGTCATGTCTTATATATGCAGCTTCTAGAAGAGAAGCTGCTTTGCTGGACAATCTTGGCAACAGCATATGTTTTCCAACTACTCTAACAATCTTTTATTTTCTATTTATTTGTTTCTGCTTCATTTCCTCATTTTCTTCCACCTCCTACTTTTTGTCCTGCAGTTAAAGTCTCAAAGCTACCACGAGGGAAAACTCCTGTTTGTGCTCTGGTGCTTTAAGGACACAGTATACTTGATATGAACCTGAAAAATCATATTTTATTTCTGTGTTGAATGTTCAGTTATCTTAATTTAATGCCCCACATGTGAGAAATAAAAAAAAAAATAGACACAATATATTTAATTTGATTAATGATTTGCATTAAAGGGGACTTTTTGTGTTAATTTCAAACTCCAAATGTGTATTCTTGGACTCGACTAGAGTAGCTTTGCATGATTCATGGTTTATTTTAATCCTTACTTATCTTGTAGTGGCCCTTAGTACTGACGTTTACTTCATTCTCTGCCCAAAACAACTATTTTGCCTCCTTTTTGATTGGCTGTTCTTCACAAACTATATGTTTAAACAGTTAATGGGAGGGACTTCATTTGTCACAGCCTGTGCCTACGGTGGCCATATAAGGGATAGCCACTCTCATATATTTGGGTTAATTAATAAATCAAGCGCACAGCTTTCTCTTAAGTCTCAAACTCACTTTCTGTTTAGTTTAGCTCAAGCAAAGATGGCCAAAAGAGTTTTCAGTCTAGAGGAAGTTCAAAGAAATCCCAATCAAGACAATATACACAGTAAGTCCATGACTTCACGAATAATTGTCATAATTGCGATCATAGCTTTTGTGGCAGTCAAGCAACCTTTAGCGTCTTCTGTAACAGCTGGTCATTGTTCATGAATAAAGATAGCCAGGGCAATCCGACAAGTTTCATTTATATGCTTCTTCCAGTGTCATACCGGGAACAGATATTTTTGACGCTCTTACAGAGTGACCGTTACAGGATGTACTAGTTTATGCTTTTTCCTGTGCAGTGGATAACAGATAGCAGAGGAGCCACAATGAGGCCTGAGAAAACTCTTCTATGAAAACTATTTCTCTGTGGTGTGTGTGTGTGTGTGTGAAACCAGCCTCACACCATAAACAGCTTTCATCTTATTGTTCTGTGTGTCCTCCAGGGAAGGTGTATGTACACTGCAGAGAAGGCTACAGCCGCTCCCCCACCATGGTTGTTGCTTACCTCATGCTGCGCCACAGAATGGATGCACGGCTGGCGGTGGCCACTGTGCGGCACAAGAGAGAGATCGGTCCTAACGACGGCTTCCTTCGCCAACTGTGCCAACTCAACGAGAAGCTGGCAAAGGAGGGCAAGCTGAACGGGGACCTTGGCAAATTAAAGGCCAAGTGAAAGCTGGAGAGGTGCTGCCCGTCTCCTCCGGCCATGCCTTTGACTGGCTGCAGCTGCTCTGGTAGACTGACCCCACCCTGACCAAACCAGCACTCATCTAACACATCAGGGGTATTCTGAAGCATACATGCATTTATCTGTGGAATTATTCCTCGTGTTCACACACACTTGCACATGTACATGCTGTTCTGTTTGAATCTTTAGTCCACGTCTCTCACTGCTGTTCTACAAAGAGTGTGATCTCAAAAAAAACCCCCATCCCCCTTTTTATAACTCCACACAGATTTTGCTGCTCATACCCTAAAGCTCTGAATTCCTCTCATTTCTGAGCTACTTAAAGCATTCCTTCAATTCCCACAACTTAGAAATTTGATATCTTTGCCCTGATTTTAAAATTTTACTTACAAACTTGTAGGAAATAGAAGATTATAGCACAATCATTCCATAGTTTACCACTGCCGGGAATGTCAGTGATGTCTCCGCCAGTAGGAGTACTCTAAATAATTCCAAATAAACTCCTAAATATTGAAAGTTGATGGCCACAAATGATGCAACACAGAGTGGATGAAGGAAAATCCCACATTCCATTAAATCTTAAAAAAAAAGCAAAACAATGACGCCCAGTCGATTCCTAAAAATCCTTAATTCTTCCCTTTGGGAGATAGATTTAATGCACAAACACAGATGACTCACACTCTAATGCACCCTAATACACAATGTAGCATTTCAGTTAACAGACTCTCAGGCCTCTAGTTTGACAGCGGTAGCATGAAATTTATCTGCAGCGCAAACGGTTGTCGACAGAGCCGCCGCCGCCGAGAACAGGAAAAGGTCGAGCCAATTAAAAATAATGAGCTGCGTGAGGCGTTCACGTAGCAGCCATATTTAGCCTCTGATATGATGAGTGTTCACTGCAGCTGGATAGTAGCTCAGTACAGTAGATGCAGAAATCTGAGGAGAACGCTGGATCAAATATCTGCTTAAAAACAGGAAATGCTTTGCCTTCAATTTGAAATTAGCTTATTGTCATTCCCAGTAATGGGCACATGTGAGTGGTTTTAAAGTATGTTTGTAGCCAGAGGACGGCTTTTCTTTTCTTTTTTTTTTTAATAACATTTGTATTAAAAATAAGTTTAGGTTTGATAATCTTCAAATTTGTGAGACTGCAACAGCATGTTAGGGTCACTAAAGGTTAACAAAAAATAAAATTGAGGCTAATGTGACAAATTTACAAGAAAAGAACTTGTATCTGCCTTTGTTTATCATGAATTTGTATGTTTTTGTAAAATAATAAATTGTCCTTTTTTATTTATGATTATGATTGTAATCTTGAAGATTTTGGACTTTTTCTCAGATTGTAAACATCCTTACCAAGCCCCTTACACACTCACAGTGGCCCTAATACACTGTTGCTAAATGTTCTTAAAATACCATAATCAGTATGTTGTTTGTCAGTAACTCTTGCTTTGTCTTTCAGCACATTGCTTGCCTTTAAAAAATAGTTTACAAAGTGCTTTGACACAATACACATTAAAGTCACATACAAAGAAACGTGCGATAAGCAAAACAATGATCAGAAGGGAATCCGGTTATGGAATCACACAAAAGCCAAAGTATAAAAATGTGTTTTAAGAAGTGATTCACTGCAGGTTGCATAATTTTCATGTATTGTTACATGTTAAGTCATCATCATGATCTCAATATGGAGAAAATAACTAACTGGGGATTATGATTTTTTCCAAAACCCAGCAGCACAACTTCTTGTTCTTAGAGGAAAATCGTAACTTGCTTATCTTTATCAACAAGTCTAAACGTAAAATACTCCCAAACAATTTACTAGTTATAGTTGCACTTGCCTCCTTTAACAGCTTACTGAGCTGAAATGATAATTTCCCCTGTAGAGACTGCCCTCTGGTGGTGTTTCTCTGCATTACACATCAAGGCATGACCTCATTTCTGCACCTGTATCAGGAGCTTCTATTTTTTTGATAATATTTTTCTGGATAACATAAAGGTAGCACACAAGGCTGTTGCATGTGAATGTAGGTTCTTCAGTTAACGATGGCAAAATAGTTACTGTTGCACTTTGGATTTGAGAAAGTGGGTTATAAATATTCTGCTCAGAGGTGTTTAAGATGTTGTTGTTTGCTCTGCCACCTTCAAACTAGGGGCCTGTTGTTTTAACTGTCAAATGCATCAGCCAGATGGGATGCCACCCGCTTTCAACAGAAAGATCCAGCCATCACGCCACCAGAGAGTTGCACACTGCCAATTCCCTGACACAACCATTCACTCAGAATCCCAAAAGCACTGTTTCATCCACACAGAGGTCCCCACACAACATGTCACTTATCTCACCCCTAAATGTGTGTGTCATACGCTAACTAATACACACACAGGGTCAAATTAGATCACAACGCCTTTTTTTGTTGTTTCTTGTTTTGTTTTGTGTGCACTAAAGCATTGCAATATATGTCAATACCCCATCCGATATATAGAATGTAATCACATTTATATGACTAACAAGGCAGTAGCTGTTACATATAGGCAACTTTAGTTCAGCAGTACATTTTGAAAGACACTGTATTTAATACTGGGCATAATACTGTAAACTAGACCTAGTGCCAGGAAGGATGGCGATGGAGTGAATTCTTGCACCACACGAGTCCTCGAGTCTGTTTTAGAGAAGTCGCACGAGCGAGATCAGACACGCATAGACTCGTGAACTAAATGTCATGTTGGCAGGATTGTTGTCACGCAAGAGAGGAAGAGGAAAACTAGGTTCTCACCTCATTAATGGCACTATTTATTCCTCCTTTGATATATCTGTATACATTTAAATATATACATGTATACTGTATATACATATTTAAGTGTTGACATATATGAATGTATGAGCAATGTGTCTATAACGTGTAGGTAACGTCAGTATCGTCTTTATATAACATGTTCTACTTGTATGTAGCGCTTTCATTCTTTCTGTTAATTACATGCACATTAATATTTGGATATGATGTGCATGTAAATTGTTCTGTGTAATTGTGGTAGTTCATATCGCAATTGTGCAAAACGTGCTTATGATGGCAGGGTTTTTTTTTTTTTCCTGGTGTAGCCAGGACACTGGGGCATGTAATCATTGTATCTAAGTAGCGTTTTGTACAGCGTAACGTCTTCATATCAGTGCAAATGGATTCATTAAATACAGCAAGATGCAGGTGGCATCATTAGACGCAAGCGACCATCACATCCAAGGATGGACTCATCCCATCGCCCATTTCATTTGGCATCATTTCCATCTCTTGCTTTTGATGCTTTAGGATCGATATATGTGGTTTGTTTGGATGAGAGTGTTAGTGAGAGGAATATTTTTAGAGGTGAAAGGAAATAACGGGATCACGTCTGGTGTCACTCAGACCACTCGTGCTTATGGAATGAAAATGGATAAAATATGACCAAAAATATTGTATAAAAGATCCATGTCCAGAAACTAAAGGGAGGTTTTGAAAAGTGACAAAAGGCATTTAATATAAAGCTAAAGATCCACCTTGTGAGTGGCTGGACTTGGATATTTTATGGTCCAGTTTTTCAGCCGTTCAGACCTTGCAGATCTGTAGTCTTGTTGCTGTCTCCTCTTACGTAAAGCGAGCACAAAGCAGTCAAGCAAAGTGCGCCATTCAATAAATCAGCTTTTACATTTATATTTTTCTTTATAATTGCAGGTACATTAAGCAGATCGAGATTAAAGTCTCACATTAAATGTTCATATTTCAAAGCAAGCAGTGGAAGTCTACCCAAATTAATCACTTACTTGTTTGAAAATGAAATTTTAAAGAAAGTATTTGACTGCTCCAGCACATTTTTTATGTCTTAAAGTAAAATATCTTCTGCTGTTGGACTGTTAATGATCATTTGGCTCTGGGAAATTACAAAGTTCGGTTTTCACTGTTTTTTCAGAGGTTTTATTGACCAAATAACCTATTGATCAATCAGGAGAACAATTCTCAGATTGATTAATAATGAGGAAAAAGCACCTTCCTGCTCCATGTAGCGAAAGTAAAGAGTACATGAGTCTACAAATATACAGCCAGCAGAGACATTTTAAAGGCCATGTGTTTGTGCTGATTCCAAAACATACACTGAAATGTCCAGTGCTGCTGTGGCCTCTGACTCATTATTGGCCAGGAGGAAAAGTCAGAGAAGGTAATGTTCTCACAGGGAGTTAAAACCGAGGACAAACCCTGCAGAGCGAGAACATAAGTGCGCTTGTGATTGCGGTTCATGCGCAGGTTGTTCCAGTTGACTCTGAGCCCTCTCATTTGGCCATTTTTATACATGTGAAAATGTTTTAAGCAAAGCATTTGACTTCACATCTTGCAAACGCTGCTTCCTCTTGTGGCAAGATAAATCGGGTGCAGTAGTTCAAATTCCCGACCTTTAAGTATAATTTAGTAAATGCGTCATACCACTCATTCCCATCACCTCATCATGAACCCCACACCACCATTATTGTCAATGAAAAGGTAGTACAGATATACGGCTATATTATGTGTTTAAATTGTCAGTTCCAAGCGACAAAAACAATTTATATTATAGATGATTGGCTTTGTCATCATTCGGATGGCCTGGGGTTTCACTCATGCAACTGTTTGGATCTGCTCTATAATACTGCCCTCCTTCTGAATACACAAAAAGCAACAACAAGACACGGTTTGGTACCTCTTTAAATTTGGGAATTGGTAAAAATGTCCTCAGCTCATTCCAGGATGAGGGTACGTACTTTAAAGCATCGACTGCCTACACCGACCTGCTTATCGGGTAACTCACGGAGGGTTTTCAAAGCACTCTGTGGTTGCCCAAACTGATTTTCTGATGCAACTGAAATGACTTTTTGGATGCAATGATGTGAACAGAGAGTTTTTATCATGGCAACACTGCTGGCTTAAACACTGTTCTGTAAAAGAAAAAAACACTGCCACCTGCTTGTTCAACAAATCTACTGGTTTGCACACCAATTTGAATTATTTAAAGTGGACCTATTATGCATATGTATTTTTAAATTGTTTTAGTACTATAACAATGATGCATGCTCATTTTACAACTTACAGTTAGGGAGTTAAAATGGCTCAGTGCAAACAGAAGACAAATGGAGGGGCTGCATCGAGGCTCAGTATGAAATAAATATGGACTGTTTTGAATGAGAATTATGCAAAGCTAATCTACTAAATTTAAACTGTATTTATATAGCTGCAGTTTACAGCAACAGTTCTCTTGAGGTACTTTATATATTAAGATAAATATTGGCTGCAATATTAGTGAGAGAGCCTCAACATTGAGCAGCAGCAATGGTGGGGAGAAAGAACTCCCTTTTAATAGGAAGAAACTGGCTCGTGGGGGGGAAGAGAGAAAGAGAGGACGTTGTTAAGGGTCACCTTATTCAATGCCAATTATCTTTCTCCAAAAGGAAACTTTGAAGAGAGGTCCTCTGTCTCCTGAATCCAATGTGCAGGTTCCTTAGCTGAATGGCTCCCATT